AATACAAAGATTTTATTTATAACTAGCTGTTCCCGTGCGGCTTCATCCGCATGATTTTAATTGTCTTTCTAATTGATTATAAATTACAGGTCATAATTGAATTGCTAATAGCCTAATGGTTTAGGGTCCGTACCGATCTTGTGGTCGTGAGTTCGAAATCCTCCATTCGACTTGTGAATCATATCCTAGCACAAGCCTAGATCTTTAGCTAAAAATCTAACAGTATTTAAAAAATGTGACAATCGTACAGATATTATGAATGAAAACTGTATGTACTCAAGAAAATCATTGTAGCAAAAATAAACACTATTGGTAATTTCTATTGGTAATTTCTATTGGTCAGGAGAAAATGGGAATAATTTCATATTTCCCTTCTTTTACTTACTTAGCATTTTATAAAAGCATCAAATCATTTACAGGCTTTTACAAGATTATTTGTATGGTTACCTTTTTAGCTCGTCTTTTCTCCCGTCTTCTCGGCGAACTTTGCAATGTACCGAAATAACTGACAACACCGCCGCTGCTGTTCCTATAAAGAATAGCAAACATGAAGATTTTTAACAATTTTAAAAACAATAAAATAAAACTTTCACATACCTTGTTAATGGATTAATAGCGCTGAAGAATTTTGACTTCGCAGTACTGAAAAAAATAATAATAAGTATCATTTTATCGTTTAATATAGTTTATTTCGATTTTCTGAACTTCCACGTTACTTTTGCTTTCAATTTAGGGACAAATATTTATTTTATAATAACAGGTAGTAATTTAAAAGACGTTTAAAGCAAACTTGGCATTTCAAAGTTTTTTTATCGGTGCTCGAAGGACCATAATTATAGAATAACATCTAACAATGGAATAAATCACTTAGAACTAATAAATGGCGACTCTGTCTCATTTAGTACAACAAATATACACTAAAAGACATATTTGCGAATACTGGAACGCAATAAAGTTACAGTTAAACTCTAAATTCCTTACAAATTATGACGTCTAAAAGACAGTAAGCGACGCTTACGAATGTATTTGTTAGTGATAATGGAAGGTAGAGTGAGACAGTGATAGAGAACAGCCCGTGGAGATGTCAGATATCCTGTTGTTGGCGCTGCCGGGCTCCGTCTGTATGCTGTCGCGTAGCGCGCGGCGCCGCTCCACCGGCTCCGTCTCCAGCTCACAGTTCTAATAAAACGTATTCTTTAGTAATATATTGATATTTTCCTTATAATCAAATTAAAATTACAATTTTACTAATATTGTAAATGCGAAAGTTTAGATGGATGGATGTTTGTTAGTTTGTAGCCTAAACTGATAGGATTTGGATGAAATTTAGCATAGATATAGATATTCTGGAACAACACATAGGCTATTTACTTTGTTTTCAATTCCACGCGGACTGAGTCGCGGGCGTAAGCTAATGATACTATAATACAAAGTTTCTAAGGCGCGAACAAATTATAAACTAGCTGTTGCCCGCGATTCTACCTGCGTTAAATTACAATAACAACAAAGATATAGGTTATATTACTCAGTGATACCGTAGCTTTTTGGCAGTGTGATAATTTTTGAAATCGACCCTGTAGTTTTTGAGTAATATCATAACAAAACAAACCTTACCTCTTTATAACATTAGTATAGATTTGACAAAAATGTAGATGTCAAACCCAATAATCACGCCTGACGGAGTTACGTTGACAGTTGACATACTTTCTGACATATCGAACGAATTACCTATTATTTGACAACTTCTTTAATTGATACTGTCGCTTTAACTTAGAGCAATACTTCTCGTCAAGACTTAGGATGCGCGCCGAATCTATCCATACTTCTAGTGACATTGACAGCTGTCAGCTAGGGACGTGACGTTTATGCCGATAATCTAGAGTTGCGCCAATTCTATAGCACGGTACTAATTTTGTTCTTAACACTATCTATACCATTATAAAGAAGAAAGACTAGGATTTTTGTATATTAAAATAACTCAAAAACTATGTGACCGATTTCAATAATTCTTTCACAGTTATAAAGCCAGGTTATCAGTAAGAGGTAGTTATGTAGGCGGAGTCAGTGGAAGCCGACCTTGCGGCCGTAGCGCTGGTGCACGTGGCTCTGCACGCGCTGGAAGCACAGCTCCATGTGCTCGTGCAGCCCCTGCAGCGCCGGCGCGATGCGCGCCTTGTGCACCTCCAGACCTGACACACACAAAACATATATATTCTTCCATACTAATATAATAAATCGTAAACACAAACTTCTATTATTTAGAACAGAAAAGAGACAGCATATTGTTGAATAATAACAATCTTTAGAGTACATATTTTAACGTTATTTAGTTAAGAGATTGAATAAATTGCACAAAAGTGTACGAGAAATGGATAAAATGTACACACCAATAGCAAAGAAGTAAAATTTGGTAACGGTAATTGTTAGTCAAAGTCAAAGTCATTTGTGAATTTTATATACTGAAGGGCTCGGAGCCTATTCTAATAAGGGGTGACTAGATCTTAGTGTTCTTTGTTAATAAGTGCAGGCGTCACGATATTTTCTTTCACCGTAAAAACGTCGGGTAAATTACATACATATGAAATTCGAAAATCACATTGGCACATGAACCCAAGACCTGTAGGACAAATCAAGCGCTTAAACCACTGACGCTCTTGGTTGTCGCGGTCGTCTATGACCTTTAACTTATGGTAGGCTCTAAACCCCTCATACGTAAGTTATGGTGATGGTTGGTGGTGATGATAATTATGATGGGGATAAAGCTATAAGTACAAGTCCTTCCTGTGTATGAGGAGATAAGTATAGCAGCGGTTACCCATCCTGAGCAGCGGCACCTGGTCCGCGATGAGGTCGCGCAGCTGCTGCAGCAGCGGCAGG